TCAAGAAAGGCTGGGAAAATGTCTTTAAAAACAATCTCTAGCCCTAGCTGGTTTGGGTCAGTGGATGGAGCATCAGCCTGTGGACTGAAGGGTCCCAGGTTTGATTCCGGTCAAGGGCACATCCCTGGGTTGTGGGCTGGATCTCCAGTTAAAGCCACCCAAACAAACAAAACCTAACCATAACCTAGTCGTCAAGTTTTTAAACTGTATTTTAAAAGAAAAAAAACAACATACAACAAAACAGAAAACAAGATACACCTTAGTACCTGCCAAGAAAGAAAATGAGATGACATTTAAGATGCAAAGAAAAGAATCCTTCAGATTTAGGTGAAAAGAAAGAAGAGCTTGAAAGAAAATCTGCACAAAGGAAATTATCACCACAGGCTTAGAACTGAGGCAAAAACCTGGGTTCTTTTGAAGATAGAAGAAAGTGTCTCATGACCTAAATGATCTCAAACAATTCATCAACAAGCCCAACATCTGAGAAGGTCACAAGGAAAGCAACAGAGTAGAGAGAGTTAATGAAAGACACTCATGCCCTCCCCCCAAAAAACTTAATATTAGCAAAATGTTATATTCGCCAATAACATCAGTAGACTGTTTTGGAAAAGAGCAAGGGGTACCAACCAAACTTTACAAAGGAGCTGGTACCGTAATGATAGAATATGACTTACCCAAAAAGCTAAATGCTATACTAGTTCCAGAAAAGAGGTCAAGCTGCTGCTTACTAATCTATAATAATAAAAGCATAATATGCTAATTAGACCAGACAGACGAACGACTTTCTGGACATTATTCCAGTTGTCCTTTGGTCGTCCTTCCGGATAAAGCTGTGGTGGTGGGGGCTGAGGCAGAGGTGGTTAGGGGCGATCAGGTAGGGAGGCAGAGTGGTTAGGGTGATCAGGCAGGCAGGCGAGTTGTTAGGGGCGATCAGGCAGGCAGGCGAGTGGTTAGGGTCCATCAGGCAGGCAGGCGAGCGGTTAGGGGTGATCAGGCAGGCAGGCAGAGTAGTTAGGGGTGATCAGGCAGGCAGGCGAGTGGTTAGGGGCCATCAGGCATGCAGGTGAGTGGTTAGGGGCCATCAAGCAGGCAGGCGAGAGGTTAGGAGTGATCAGGCAGGCAGACAGAGTAGTTAGGGGCCATCAGGCAGGCAGGTGAGCGGTTACGAGCCAGTGGTCCCGGATTATGAGAGGGACGTCTGACTGTCAGTTTGGGATTGGGCCTAAACTGGCAGTCGGACATCCCTTGAGGGGTCCTGGATTGTGAGAGGCTGCAGGCCGGGCTGAGGGACATTCCCCCCCAACCCCCCCCATGCCTACTAGAGAAATACTTTGAACCATTAAAAAAACAAACAGCAACAAGGTGAGGGTACCATCTGTCACCACTCCTAGTTAAGAAAATAGTAACTGTTGCCTTCAAATTGTGTAAATAGAGGAAAGGGAGAATTTTATTGTATTGCTTACGTTATGGGGTTGTTGGGAGGATTGAGTGAATTAATGAAGAATTCACAGAGGCACTGGTGGTCCCTGATTTTCAATCCCTTGTCTGCTTTTAATGGATCAAATGATCCCTGGCCCTGGGGTATCCAAGTTATTCCATTTGACTTCTTAGCCAGCAAATCAATGTTGATCTGAGAAAGAAACATCTGGAAGCAACCATACAGTCTTGGCCTGATCAGTCCACTTGATTTATTATAAAGACTTGTACTCATTGTTCAGAACCAACTCTTTTAGGTAGGATATTAATGCAGGAATCTCCTCCCTCTTAAGGCAAAATCCCCAAACAGTGAAAATCAGTTTCTCACAGTTGACTCTGTAAAAGGGTTGATCCTGACCTACCAGCCATGGGCAAACTACAGCCCGCATCCGTTTGAAATGAATAAAACTAAAAAAAAACAAAAACCAGACCGTACCCTTTTATGTAATGATGTTTACTTTGAATTTATATTAGTTCACACAAACACTCCATCCATGCTTTTGTTCCGGCCCTCCGGTCCAGTTTAAGAACCCATTGTGGCCCTCGAGTCAAAAAGTTTGCCCACCCCTATAGACATACCTGTGAAGCCAAGGCTTTAACTACGTGTTAAAAATTAAAAACACCTTCCCAGCTCCCTTGGAATTGAGGGCACATTAAAGTGGTGAACCAGGTCCTTTTCTCCAACAAGCTGCCCTCTAAGGTCTCAGCATCAGCTTCTCTTCTCTGTGACCCAGGCAGGAAAGGGACCTCGAGTATAACATTCCTCTTTCCACACTCCACAGCCCTGGTAGGAAAGGGGGCAGCCAGGTGCTGAGTGCACGCCTTCCAATCTCCAAAGCCTCACCCATCAGAGAGAGGGAGAGAGGGAGAGAGGCGGGGGGTGGGGGGGGGGAGAGTGAGAGAGCGCAGAAATCAGTGGAGCGGCCCTATTTCTGGCTCCATCTCCTACTCTCCAGTCTTGGCAATTTAAGTTTATGTAATAAATATTCCCTCTCTGCCCCTGTGGAGCTATTTGGGCTTTTCCTAGCCCGTTTAGTCCATTTTCCCAAATTTCCTCTCTAGATGTGTGCTTTGCTTGCCCTGAGAATGCCAAATAAGCCATAATGTGTCTGGAGAGGAAAAAAAAATTCACAAATATCAACTGTATTCTTATACATTAACGATATTGGGGAGGCTTTGAAAATCACAGAAATCATAGCCATTTCATCTTTTAAATAAAGTCAACATTTTAGCAAACACTGACAGGTTTGAGAAGAAAACATTAGACACGTCATTAGGGAGCTCAACCACTTCCGGCCACCCCACGCCAGCCTCTGAGAGGCACTGGCAAAATTGTAATGAAGAGCACAGTTATCTTCCCTGGCAGCATGATCACAGATTTAGATGTTGAGGCAATTGTTACAAAAGCATTTGTGGTAACAGCATTGCCTTCTAACCTAATATGAAGTGTCAAATCTTAATAAGCAAACAGGTAGAAGTGCATTTCCATGAAAACAGGCTTAATAACAAGGACAGTTTGGAGAAATAATGACCATACTCTTTAATTATGTATTTCTCATATTTTCTTCAGTAGAATGCCATCAGTTTCTCCTGAAAATAAATAACCCAACATTTCTATTAAAAAATTCTACACTGTAAAACCTTATAAACAGCATATGTTGATTATTCTTTGCAAAACCATCTTTGAAAGAAATAATTATACCCTTGGGTAAACAGCTAAATGTATTTTTTCATTATGTTGAAAGGGAAACAACTGATTCTGAGATTCTACACTTTCCGTTTTTACAATCAGATTCATCTCAGCCACACTGCTGACAGCAATTCGTCAACAACTTAATATTCGTCAGTCTGTGTAAATATGTTTCAGCTAAGAAATGTGTTACGCTTATCTTAACCTGATTCTTTATTTTCAACAAGAAAAGCATACTTACTGTAAAGGAGGCAGAAAAGTTAAATCCCAATTGGATCTACATCAAAAGGAATAGAGAGAAAAAAAACCTTTCTATTTAAATCAGTTGAAAGCCTTCAGCATTGAATGGATTTGAGAAAATGAAACTTGGGTACAGGATTCCTGGGGACATTTGCATCTTTCCTCAGAAAGCCTCCCAGGACCTTTCATTGCACTAACTTCCAGCCCTTTGCTGCCTTCTCAGTCACTATGGATCAAGCTGAATATTAATGAGTAAAAGCAGCCAGGATCTAGGAAGCTCAGCCAAGAATACTGGGACAGACAAGAAAAGCGCTCACTATTTTTAAGAAAACATCTTTTAAGAGTTCTGGGCTCCCAGAAGTCAGGCCAAAACGGAGAGAAATGGCCCTTGAATGAGGATAAATACGTTTGAGCCTTGCCCGTAGGGGATGGTAAAAGACTTTTCTTCGTCTTTTGTACCATCTGTTTTAATAAAGTTAAATCTGGGCTGCAGCCGATTCATACTCAATCACATTTGTCCGGAGAGGAGATACAACAAAATTCATAGTGTTAGTTAGTAATCAGGAACTTAAAGAAAATTTATTATCTTCTTAATGGCCATCTGGAAACTGTCAAATGACTCCTTCTCTCCATCTACTCCTGGGAGCAGTTAAGGATATTTCCTAAAAATATCTTCGGGATAAAACACATTATATAAAAACATGAGAATTTGACGTAAGTATATTTTACCCACCACAAAATAAGTACCTGCCATATACTAACTTTTACTCATTAACTGCTTAAAACATGAATGTATACAACCTTCTTATCCTTATATACAAATGAATGTTTCAGTTTTATCTACTTTTTAAAAAAGAAACCCTGCTTTTACCCCCCCCCTTTTTTTTGGTCCAGAATGCTCTATTTCATCATAAATATCTGATAGAGTTCTATCAGCATTTCAAAGTTCTCAGCAGTAAGACTCATTGTATTACATAGACCATAAACTCCTGGGGAACTGTAAACAGCCCTACCTTTGCACATTTTGTGTAGTTATGCAAGTAGGTAAAGAGCAAACGCATTTGTAACCTTTCCCCCTTCTTACTGTTGTAGCTCCTGTTGTCTACATCAAGTATCTGTTACTGTCTTAATAGGTCTTATTATCTATATCAAGTATCAATTGTTTGTTTTTACTACTTACAGCATCTTAGTGCTTCTCTAGTCCACACTTCTGTTATATAAATTCTGAGGCCCAAAAGTTCCCTTACATTACCAAGTGGCATAGATAATTTGTGAAAGGAACCTAGTGCTCTGATTTTTAGAGTTTGGCATAGAATACAGAATTATAGAATTTCACAGTAAACAAATTTATTCTGTAACGTCTTAGTACTCCTTAGTATTTTCATAGCACCTATCAAAATGCCTAGTATATAGTAGATACTAAAAATATCTATTGCTCTGGCTGGTTTGGCTCAGTGGATAGAGCATCGGCCTGCGGACTGAAGGGTCCTGGGTTTGATTCCAGTCAAGGGCACATGCCCTGGTTGCGGGCTCAATCCCCAGTGGGGGGCATGCAGGAGGCAGCCAATCAATGATTCTCTCTCATCATTGATGTTTCTATTTCTTTCTTCCTTCTTTTCTGAAATCAATAAAAATATATTAAAAAAATAAAAATATCTATTGGTTGATAAAACCAAAGCTGCCTTTAATATTAAGTGCATCTAAGCACGTGGGATGATATATGTATTATCAGACTAAACTCCATTATACATACCGTCAGCTCTACTGACACCACGTGGCAAGGTTTCTAACTGCTGAGCAATGTTTCCAAAATATTGTAGACCTGGTCAAACATAGAACTGGAAAGCAAAAGGGAAATAAAGCAGTTCTCCCATCTATCCCAAACCCAGTCTCAGCTGATGACCATTTTTGCCCCTCGCATTTGAAAGAAAACAGTGGCAGTGAAGGGAACACCTTCCGGTGTGCCCACCCACACCATCCATCACCCATCACCACCTTCCGCCAAATAGGTGCACCCATCCTTCCATCTGCCCGTAAAAGATGAAGCGCCCCTTACTCACTGCCAAACTCCTCTAGGCTGTGAAGAAGCAGAGCCCCTTCCTACTCCATCCAAAAAAGGTAATCCCTCGCTCCCTGCACCCACCTTCCTGGGTCATTGCCTCCTACATCATACACCTCTATACACATTTCAGTGCTGCTTCCATACAAAACGTTCCTAATGGAATTGCAGCTGAGCTCCTTGGTTACGTGGTCTAACTCCATACATCACCTTCTCACCTCCCCCTTTCCCCAGGTGACTACAGCTGGGCCTCCACTCCCTTCATTCAAATAATTGCTTTTGAGAAGACCCATGGTACCTCCCTAAGTGCCACATCCAAGCAGCTACCTGGGATACCTTGGCAACACCTAGTTGGGACTTTACATTCCACTGACCAGTGTCCGTCCCGAACCCTCCCCGGCTAGATGAGCACGGCCTGCCCTTCCGGGATATCCTCTCAGTCGGCTCTCAGGGTCAGTTTGTTCTGGGAGCCCTGAAAGCGCCTTCCCCCACGTTTTGTCAGCTCTCCCCGGGGACTCTCAACACCACCAAAGCATCAAGTCCCACCTACTGCCTGAGCGCTTCCAAATCAAATTCCCAGCTCAGGGGCTCTGGCTCCCGACGACCAACACCTTCTGACAGACACTCACAAAGGTTCTGCAAGGGATGCATTCATTTTCTCCCAAAATAACACCAGTTCCCTGAATAGGCTGTGCTCTCACACCTGAGCGCTTTCCTTTCCTCAGACACCCTGACCTTCACAAGTAAATACTTCACCCTTCTCACCTCTTCTCACTCATCCACCTACCACCATAGAGATAGTTTCTTAAACTATATTCCATTGTTTGTTTTTTAAAGACTCACTACTTCTATTGACTTCAGAGAGGAAGGGAGAAGGAGAGATAGAAACATCAGTGATAAGAGAGAATCATGGATCTGCTGCCTCCTGCACCTCCATCCAAACTGGGGATCGAGTCCGAAACCTGGGCATGTGCCCTGACCTCCTGATTCATAGGTCAAAGCTCAACCACTGAGCTACACTGGCCAGACTAGATCCATGTCTTTTTTTTTGTTTTGTTTTGTTTTTTAATTAAATCTTTATTGTTCAGATTATTACATTTGTTCCTCTTTTTTTTTGCCCCCATAACTCCCCTCCTCCCAGTTCCCGCCCCACCCTCTGCCCTCACTCTCCACCCACTGTCCTCATCCATAGGTGCACGATTTTTGTCCAGTCTCTTCCCGCATCTCCCACACCCCTTTCCCCCCCAGGAATAGTCAGTCCATTCCCTTTCTATGTCCCTGATTCTATTATAATCAACAGTTCATTCTGCTCATCAGATTATTTATTCACTTGATTCTTAGATTCACTTGTTGATAGATGCATATTTGTTGTTCATAATTTGTATCTTTACCTTTTTCTTCCTCTTCCTCTTCTTAAAGGATACCTTTCAGCATTTCATATAATCCTGGTTTGGTGGTGATGAACTCCTTTAGCTTTTCCTTATCTGTGAAGCTCTTTATCTGACCTTCAATTCTGAATGATAGCTTTGCTGGATAAAGTAATCTTGGTTGTAGGTTCTTGGTATTCATCACTTTGAATATTTCTTGCCACTCCCTTCTGGCCTGCAAAGTTTCTGTTGAGAAACAGTCGTATGGGTATTCCCTTGTAGGTAACTGAGTTTCTTTCTCTTGCTGTTTTTAAGATTCTCTCTTTATCTTTTGCTCTTGGCATTTTAATTATGATGTGTCTTGGTGTGGTCCTCTTTGGATTCCTTTTGTTTGGGGTTCTCCGCGCTTCTTGGACCTGTAAGTCCATTTCTTTCACCAGGTGGGGGAAGTTTTCTGTCATGATTTCTTCAAATAGGTTTTCAATATCTTGCTCTCTCTCATCTTCTGGCACCCCTATAATTCTGATGTTGGTACGCTTGAAGCTGTCCCAGAGGCTCCTTACACTATCCTTGCATTTTTGGATTCTTTTTTCATTTTGCTTTTCCGGTTGGGTGTTTTTTGCTTCCTCGCATTTCAAATCATTGACTTGATTCTTGCGCTCCTCTGGTCTGCTGTCGGGAGTCTGTATAATATTCGTTATTTCAGTCCGTGTATGCTTAATTTCTAGTTGGTTCCCCAATATAAGATCGAGGGTCTCATTAGTTTTCTTGTAGATCTCATTAAGTTTATCGGCGGCTTCTAAACAGTTCTTGAGAGACCTTAAAAGTGTGGTTCTGAACTCTATATCTTCCATTGACAATTTTGTCCTGTTTCTTTGTCTCCGCATTTTGTTATGCTTCCTTGGTGCACCCCCTAGTGGTCTTTGTTCGCAGTCTTATAGTTAAATCTTGATTGTTGTAGCTAATTCCAGGGAGGGTTTGACCTCCAGGCCAAGTGGCTATGAGAATCAGCTGTGTCTGCGGTGAGAGAACTTCTGTCCTCTAGGGAGGTGCTAATCTAGCCTTTGCCTGAGGCTATCTGGCAAATGCCTGTGTGCAGGGCTTGGGCGGGGCGGGTCGCACAGGATCAACAGGGTGGGCTGGAGAGAGCAGTTATGGCGGCTCTCAGTCCTGTCCCCAGGGGCTCTGCCTCTCTGAGTCCCAGCACCCGCTGCAAAGCTCAGAGAGAAAGCTGCACTCGCTCTGACCGAAGCCAGACAGCCCCGCTTCTCCCACTCGAGTCTGGGTCCCTAAAGACTCGCCCGGATCTGGAGCTCAGAGTCTGCGACTCCCTCCCGATTGAAAACGCCAACCGCGCCCTCCGCCGCCAGCCCGCTCGGCGCACTCCGCACCTCAGAATTTGACTTCAGCACTGCGCCTCCTCTGAGTGTCCGTATGCGTTTCTCTTTCCTCCTAGTTGTAGGACTTCCACTCAGCCAGCGTTCCTGTGGTTCTGGGTGATGTCCCTTCCGTTTTTTGGTTTCACTTTTGAAGTAGTTGTTCAAAGCAGCAAACTCCGGCGTTAACCTATGCCGCCATCTTGGTTCTCCTCTAGATCCATGTCTTAAAGAAACACTGATTTTGGCTTCATATTCTGATTTGTTTAAATATACCTGTTAGAAATGTTTTGGCTACAAGTGGCAAAAAATTCAACTCAAAATAGCTCAAACTGAAAGAAAATTTGTCATATGACTTGACTAGTGCAAAGACGGTCAGGGGAGACAGATCATGACTGGTCTATAAGCAAATCATGAACACTGCTTTCCCCTATACTTTACTTCTCAGTTAGGCTGGGGGCAGAGGCTTCCCCTGACCCAGTGCTGGCAAGGGGAGGGCAGAGCCCGTCCACCCGGAGCCTGCCTTCCGCTTGGGGCTAAATGGGGACTCCTCCTTCCTAGGGCCCAGACCAGGAAGTACAGGCCGAAGGGGAAAGAAAGGTCTCCTCAGCCGTGATGACATCACTGACATGCTGAGCCAAGATAATGAGGAGAATACAATTCCCACTGAAGCCACCTCAGCTGAGGCTCAGAGCACTCCTAGCTGATCCGGCCGACCAGGGGCTTTCTTCCCTTCTTGTCTCATCCTGTTCTTATCAGAAGACGGTCCCCGAGGATGGCACCGATACTAATCTTTCCATCATCTTCCTTTTAATCTAGTCTGACACAGTAGCCTTTACCTTTTACTTACGGACTTTAACTATATCTTCCTTGCACTAAATAGCACTAAACAAATTAAATATACACCTTTAAAAAATTAACTTCCCTTGCTGGTCTGTTGCATTTATGAGCCACTTGGCTGAGAAGAAAAACAAAACCCACTTATTTAAAGGAGAGGGCCCTGGAGATCCCACTTTTAGTTTCAGCCAGACGACGACAACGAAGCATATTTGTGCCTGCACAGTGTGCTGTCCTTAATTGTATTTGCATTGGCTCTCTACTGAGCGCTAATGGAATTAGAAGTAGATTCAAAGCAAATCCTTAGAAACCACCACACCAGGCCCCCCCTCCCCCCCCTCCCCCTTTTAATGAAAAGTTTACTGGTTCTGGAGGGGAAGGGAGAGTGCTGCAAACAGGTAAGGAAAACTGTTTTAAGTGTTGGCTGGTATTGTGTTTTTAACGAAATGCAGGCCAAAATATTGGCTATTAACACAAGGGCCTCTAACAAAGCCCAAGTTTTAAGTAGTTGTTCCCAGCGCTGAGACGTGGTTGATTATTTCCGGTTGAGGTGGCGTTTGAGGTGATAACATCTGGCCTCCTGCCCTTCCTCATTATCAGACCACTGACTGATGTGCTGCGCTGTAAGCGCGTCACTGATGTGATGGCCACCACAGATGGGAACACCATGCCTGGGTCCATAAAGCATGAGCCGAGTTTTCCCCGCTGACAGATCCAGGCAAAGGCTCTTTTTCCATTCCATCAACACCAGCATGGGAATGGGATGCCAGTAAAACCCAGGAAGTAGGTAGGCCAAAGGACCCGACTAGCGAGGAAAAAGCACAGCGAGCGGAGAGCTGGCCGCTGGGAAGTTCCCCAGAGGCGGGCTCCTTGCCCTCTCCCCAGCCCTGGTGAATGCCCATCCTGGCTTCCCTGCTGGTGGGGTCACCAGTCTGCCGCCGCCTCCAGGTGGTCCCCCAAAGCACCCTGGAGTTTGTGGAAATAGAAGAGAGGGAAAATGCCTGATCAGGACATGAGGACCCCGGGGAAGTACTGGGGGGAGAGGTGGCCGAGGCTGGGGAAGCAGCAGGAGATGGGGGTGGGGGGGGGAGGACAGTGCAAGGCTCAGAGCTGAGACAGGCTGGGAATGCATGCTGCCGCTTCATCCACAAGGTGTGCATGTTCCCTTACTTCCTAAGCAGGATCCGGAGACAGTCTTCCTCCAAGGCTCCCATCCCTGGGGACACCCACACTCAGGGGCCTTTTTTGAGTGCTGTGGCAGACATTGCTGGGTGCCAGCCCGATATCCATCTCCTACTTCTTCCTTCCTACTTGTAGCAACCTTGATGATGTTGGGCATGATAATGTGCCCCATTTAAAAAGCCACATTTCCTTTCCTTCCTATGGGTAAGGCCACATGATACAATTTTGGCCAATAGGATGTAAGTGGGAATTGATGGGCGGGGCTTCTTGGAACTCTTTTAATAAGATGAGGCTGTTTCATGACTATGAGGTGACAGACACCCACGAAGGAGAGCAGAGTGGAAAATCTGGAGTCTGACAATGGCCTGGTGAAATCACCAGGCCAGCCCTGAACTTCGCATTACAGGGGAAAAATAAACATTCGCCTCTGCTAATCACCATTGTTCAGGATCTGTCATTGTAGCTGAGTGATGACTAAGTGAAACGAGTGCTTGCTATTTAGCAGGCCTTGTTCTGACACAAGTTACCACTGAATCCTTTCAATAACCATGCACAGTGGCTACTATCTATCCACATCCCCTTTTTTTAGCTGAAGAAACCGAGACACAGTGAATTTAAATAATATGCCTGGATCACAAACTTAGAAAATGACCAAGCTGGGCTTTGGGGGAAAGTGAGAAAGCCCAGCGCTCCCCAGTTCTCAACCGTGGGGCTAAGGTTTCCATAGGAAACTTCGGGCTACTGCAGGGTGTGGGCCAGGTCAGTGACGGGCACCCACAGCTTCACTCCACTCAGGAGGGCCTTCCAGCCCATGCCCTGCAGGCCGCAACCTGACAAAAACTGTGCTGTTGTATCGTTCAGGGTCCTCCTACCATATGCTTAAAATGTTGCCTTCTAGTCCCTTCTTGTCAATGCAGCTATTTTGTTGGTGAAAATAATGTTTCTATTCATAAACATACTCTCAGTCATCTTTAGCTACAAAAAGACATTCAGGTTATATGTGAATGGAGGTGGCCAGTTTAAGAAAACTCTTTTTTTGATACAGAAATAACTGAAGCAAGCAAGCCAGGCTTTTTAAAATGAATGAAATTAAAAATTAAAATAACAGGAGGAGGTGAAGGAATATGTAAATTCAAATTAAAGTCCACTGACTTGAAGTGCAATGCCCCAGGTTATGCCAGTATCTATTACTCCTGGTTTTGTCTCTACTGACTTGGAAGCAGACTTACAATATCAGCTGTCATCAAATTTAGCGAAGTCCCAGAAATAATAAATCTACAGTGTGATTTGCTGTTTTTGAAGCAAATAAATTCATTCTCAAGTTTTATTACCAATGTTATTTCTAAAACATGCCGAAGAGGCACGTGCAGACTCTGTACATTGTAGCACAGCTGTTACTACTACTGTACAGTTGCTCCCTAGGGTTAAAAAATTGCCAGTGCGACATCATAAATAGTAGACACTTAGTTCCAACATCACATTTCTCGAATACCAACACACAGTCAATGAACAACAGTTATCCAAGAAGGATACTCTACAGAGTAGCAAAGCTTATGGTAGGATTAGCATTCCAGGCTAATTCTTTTGCAGTGAGAGGGGTTGAGGTAGAAAAGGGACGGAGGGAGGGACAGAGAGAAAGAGAAAAACAGAGGAGAAAGTTCATTCAGTGGACCTTCCCACCCCAAGTATTTGGGTCAATGTTTAGCAAGTGCAGGGGTGCCCTTGCAAGTCTGGATAAACCAGACCACAGGCCCACTTGACAACAACCTGAACCCGAGGGGAGGGGCCCAGAACAGGTCTTGCTAGACCTTTGGAATTTTGGAACCATTCTCTACTTCTCCCTCTTCCCACCAAGACTATTAGTAATAGGGGAGTAAACTCTCCAGGAAAACAGTCTAGTCAGCTAGAAGCAGGTCAAAAAAACACAATGAATTTAAGTCACACAAGTCACTGTTGTTAGGGTTGACCCAGTCTGGGGCGCAGAGGTGATCTGTCCACCATCCATCAACCACGAGTGGGAAGGAAGCGGCCCTCTAAGCTCTCGGGGAAGGAATGTGCAGCACCAGCACTGCTCTCAGAGTTGCGACAGGGATGCAGAAGTGACCCAAAGGCGGTGCCCCTCTTCATAAGGTTACCATCTGTTTGGGAAGATAAATTACATCGCTCACATGCAGCAAGAAGCAAATCAAGGGAGTCTATAAGTGCAAAGGTGGGAAGGGCAATTCAAATACAATAGTGACTCAGGAGAGGAGGAAGACTAGAGACTTCTAGAGCAGCGGTTCTCAACCTGTGGGTCACCAACCTGTAGTTCGCAACCCCTTTGGGGGTCAAATGAGCCTTTCACAGGGGCCGCCTAAGACCATGGGAAAACACATAATATAATTACATATTGTTTTTGTGATTAATCACTATGCTTTAATTATGTTCAATTTGTAACAATGAAAATACATCCTGCATATCAGATATTTACATTATGATTCATAACAGTAGCAAAATTACAGTTATGAAGTAGCAACGAAAATAATTTTATGGTTGGGGGTCACCACAACATGAGGAACTGTATTAAAGGGTCGCGGCATTAGGAAGGCTGAGAACCACTGCTCTAGAGGAAGGGGTGGCTGCATGGTGATGCCTTGTGACCTATGTATGTATATATAGGATGGAAAATGGTAGCTAATCAGAGAGGAAAGGAGACCTTTTCAGGCAGTGGGAAAGGACACAGGCAACATGGGCATGAAGTAAGGTTAGTGTTCTGGCTTCTATAAGAACTTCCCAGGAAGCAAGATAAACTGCAAACCCCACCCTGATGAAATCCATTTACTTCCCAGACTCGCTGAAAACGTTAATCAGTCAATTGTCTCCCCCTTCTTTCTCTCTCTTTCTCCCACCCCTACCATCCACAAGCCACCCTCTCCATTCAGAGACATCAAGTACACCTTCACTCATCCATCCATTCATCGATTCCTCCCTCCCTCCAGTATTTGTTCATAGAAAAAAGACTGTTCTCTAGCACATGGATTTGCCACGTTGAGAACAGTTAAGAAGAGAAAGTCATGTTGGTGACACAAAAGAGAGAATAAAAACAGAACAGCCCTGGCCAGTGTGGCTCAGTTGGCTGGGTGTCGTCTGGTGCACCGAAAGGCTGCCAGTTCAATTCCTGGTTCAGTTCCCTGGGTTTCAGACTCGATCCCAGGGAGGGGGCATGCAGGAGGTAGCCAATCAATGTTATGCTCTCACATCGATGTTCCTCTCTCTGCGTTTCCCTTTCTCTCTCTAAAAGCCAATAAAACAATCTTAAAAAAAAAAAAAGGTAACAACAAAAATGTAAGATACCAGACAGCTGTTAGCTAAGCTTGACAGAGCTTCCCAGTATGTCAGGAGCTCCACAGAACTGCAGGCACTCCCTTCACATTACTCCCAGAGATCAGACCGGGTAATATGGGAGAGTATGCACCCACCTCGCTATCAGATCTCAGCACAGCCCAGTGGAGCTGGGTGAGCTGCAGGAGGTGACAGCCTCACGCTCACATCTGCGGCTGTCACGGCTGCATGAGTTTGGATTCTAACCACCAAACGCTCCAAGTAAAGCTTTGTGCGCACTCCTGGGCTTTGACTAACGCTCTGTAGATACACTGAGGAGAGCGAAGGAGTGGTTCCCAAAATAGAAACCAGCCATTAGCACATTCATTAGTAGGGGCATGTGGGTATGATTTTGTATGCCACTATTTAATAAGCATTAATTTTAGAAACATATATCAGAGACTTCTTCCCATAGAGAAAAGCTATGTGAACATTCTTGGTGATGCTAGAGGAGGACACCTGTTACATTAGTGCTTCCCAGCCAAGGCCATGCCTCAGCCACCCAAGGGAGTTTTGCTAAGAGCGACCTGCCCGGGCCCCA